TCCTAAACTGGAAACAATGTATTAAAAATACATCTGCGCCAGCCTAATAGATGAGTTAGTATAATAATAGATGAGTTAGTATAATAGCCTAATAGATGAGTTAGTAGAATAGTTGAGTAAAGACTAGATATAAAGTCTCGATAAAAATACTCATCTTGGGTAGATTTTAAATGCATACAGCTAAAATTCCCTGCCTTAGGGTTCTTGGTTATGTAAACGCTAGAAATGTTGTCTTGAAAAAAATATCTACCTCGGGCAGATTTAACTGCATTAAGCTACTGTCTCGTAGGATGCCTCTTAGAAATATACTTTAAGAGTAAACAGAATAGTTCTGCTAACAAGTCTTAAAACCCTTTTTCATCTATTTGGCTGGGGTAGATCTAAACCAGTGTTACATTGTTTCCTGCTGGGATAATAAATGCAAGATCACCTTAACTTTTCTTATAGGCTTTTCCTTGGACATTCTTGAGGTGTCAATGCAACTCTTCCTGTTATCTCTTAATAAGGGTAAGCTCTAAAATTCAGTTTATAGGTTCTGAGGTTTGCCGGTTAAAATATTTCCCGAACTTAGTTGTAACTCTTCGAAATTTCATTAACAACTACAAAATATCTGAGTTTTAATAGTGCTGTTTTGTGTATAGATGGTGTTCAAGTTAATGCTTTTATTGCACATTGTCGAGGCCAAATTAAGAGCCCAATTCAATTGGCTTAATTAACAGAACTAAGAAAGTTAGATATCTCATTGCTTAGAAGGCCGTGCTCTATCTCAGAAAAATTCTCTTTATACTTAAATCATGCCGAAAGTAAGCCAAAATATAAAATAAAAAAAACTAAACTACTTAACGGTTTTATTATATCTTTTACAAATATTCATCGTCTGCAAAGCAACTTTTCATTAGTTAAATCTTACTTCTTACAAAATTCACCAGACTTGCTTGCACTTAGTTAAACTAATATAAGTTCTGCTAATCTTTCTTCTAATCTCAAGATAGTTAGTCCTATACTTTGATTCGCAAAGAATCCAATAGTAGCATTCTTGTCTGGTTATACGCAAGCACATCATATTGCCTATTTGTGGTGAGATCAGATTTAAATCCATTGATCATTTTTTTATGTCCTTCCACTTATTATTACGCCCCTAAATAATCTATTACCTTTTTCTTGGTTCTTTTTTGCTCTCCTTCTTTCCAAAACTTCAATCTTTTAGATGTTTAGATCTCCTGATTAAATAGACTATATCCTCTCTCTTTACCCTTCTCGTGTAACCTTTTTGGACCTTATTATCGCACTACTTATTAATACGCTAAAGGTGATTTGGATTCATTTTGTGATTTTCTTTTTGAAATTCTTTGTGCTGATGTCTTTTCTCTCTCTGCAAAAAATGGGCCCCTGATGCAATCTCCTGGATTCAGGCAAGAATTGAAGCTTTTATTCCATCTTGTCAGTTCCAAGTCAAGCTTCATTCTACTCCATGGTTTTCAACCTCTTGACGGTGAAAACCATGAAGTAGAATTGTTGCAAGAAATCAATGTAAAAAGGTTCTGTAAGATGATAAGCTCCATAATTCTTAGTTCTCAAAACTTTCAAAAAGTCTAAAGAGCCTAACTTCTCTCAGAAGTAAAGCTCTAGAATTTCGGAAAATCTTTAACAGCGTCATTAAAAAGGGTAGATCTGTCATTTCATTTCTTGTTCATGGGCTGATCTTATTTTCTCTCCCAAGAATAAGGCAGAGCTGTTTGTAAAAAACTTTTTATTAAGTTTGACTCTTAAACCTTATAGCAATTCTTTTCCATTTGTTCAAATTTAAAAATTTAAGCCATTGGAAGACATTCAAAATACTCCAGTTTCTGTTTGCCAAAGTTATATCATGGTTAAACTTTTTTACACCTGGTGGTCATGAAAACAACACTGTATATTTTATCTAAGTTTTTTTATAGGTGTTAAACTAATTTTTGTTTTTCTGCCTGCTGGAAAATGGCATACGTTCTTCTAAATTTTAACAAGTCTGGTGAACATTCCGACCTCTCCATATGTTTTTAGCAAGGTCTTTGATAAACATCCCATCTTGAGTCCAATAATTTGCTGTCAGACTATCAGATCTTTGATCTTCTTGCTCCATGGTTGACTTGCTAACGGTTGCAACTGAGATATTTTATTGTATATTAAATTGAGGCGGAGAGGCTGGAGCTGTTGCTTTTGACATATCTAAGGCTTTTACAAAGTTTGGCACGCAGATCTTTTCCATAAGCTTGTTTTACATGTATATGTTTACAAGATTTTTGATTTTATCAAATTGTTCCTTTCTCAATACTATATTAAAGTCAACCTTGAAAGTCAATGCTCCATCTTTATTTCATGTAACTTTTGGGGTACCTTAAGACTATATTCTGTTCTGTTTCTTATCTACATTAATAATCTACCCGGCAACCTTACATCTAAGGTAGCTCATTTTGTTGATAACTCAACTTTATAATCCTGCTTTATCAAAAGGTCTTCTCTTTTCGATTGCTTAGAACAGGCAGCAGATTTTGTTTCTCGTCTCACTTCTGTAACAGATTGGGGCTTACAATGGTTTGTAAACGTTAACTCCAACATAGTTTAGTTACTTACCCCAAACAAGTGAAGCAAAACTATCAACAATTCTATATTTATGAATGGCAACCATCTCACTGAGTCGTCTTTTTTACGTCTTTTTGAATTATCGTAAACTACTGATCTTTCATGGAAACTTCATACATGATTGATTCATAAATTAGCCTCCGCTAAGGTTGCCTCTTTTCATCTTTCATGGAGACCTCGTACATGATTGATTCTTAAATTAGCCTCCGCTAAGGTTGCCTCTTTTCATCTCGCCATTTCCTCTCTTCTGTTTTTATTCTCTTCCTCTTATTCGTTCCTGTATAGAATACTGTTGTCATATTTGTATAGAATACTGTTGTCATATTTGTATAGAATACTGTTGTCATATTTGTATTGAATACTGTTGTCATATTTGTATAGAATACTGTTGTCATATTTGTATAGAATACTGTTGTCATATTTGTATAGAATACTGTTGTCATATTTGGGCTGGTTCTTCTAATAATGCTCTTTCTCTTCTTGGCAAGGTCAATAAACGCATTGTAAACGCAGTAGGACCCGCTCTATCTGCCAAGCGTGAGCATCTTTCCCACCCTCCTATAGTTGCATCTCTTTCTCCTCTCTACAAATACTATCAATGTTGATGCTCAAAGGAGCTATTATCTCTAGCTCTATCAACTAAAATCCATTCTCGCTTTACTTGTCATTGACAAAGTTTCATTCCTAATATTTTTGCTTGCAGCCTTTTTGGGAATAAATCAAAATAAAAAAAAATTATATAATTAAATATTCAATCAATAAAAGAGAAATTACCTACTTTTGATTAAGATTTCAATAATGCAAAAATCCACTCAGCATATGTAGTAAATGTAGACTATTATACGTCAAAAAACTACTTGGCAGATTTAATAATAGTCTGGGCTGAAAACAGTGTTATCGTTTGTATAAGAATTTATGAAAATTTTTTTTATAATAGTATCTTTCGTATTTTAGATCAGTTTAAACCTACTGTGAAATTCTGAGATCAAAGATTTCAAATTTGAGGCAAATATTCAAGAAGACAAAACAAAAAATAGCACTAATAAAGAACCACAGAGTTCAAACAATAAAGAATTTATTGTTTGATTTCTTAAGTTCTGTAAAAACAAATCTTATACTAGCTTTAGTTCCAAATGTTTCTGAAAGTCACAACAATGTTTTTTCTTTTAATGAATATTCTTATTTTAGATAAAATAAAGCACTACTTTGTGGCTAATTTTAAACTTTTTAAAATAATGTCTGGTTTTTCTCTAAGTTCTACACAACCTTACCGTTTATGCAAACAGAAAACGAAACCATTTTAAAAAGAAAGGTTAGAACTTTTGGTTCTTTAGAGCGACATTAAATTCTCTCAATCAGGTTCAATGAAACGTAATAATAAAAATTTTGTTTTGGTTTTAATCCCCCATTGATGCACCCAAAAACAAGTGACCAATACATAACAGATTACATTTTTCTACCGGATTTAATCATATTTATAGTCATAAAGGGAAATGTGAAATAGATAATATTTCATTAATTTTTAACATTTCATAAAAGGTTCAGAGCAATTCCTTTAATGAGAATGCCTTCAGTAAAATGATATATTTATGAATGCATTTGCAAATAACATAATACCATTGGCAAAGGGGTTTAGAATTTTAAACTTTAGAACTTAGTTAATCCTTGTTTTAGATAAAAAATACATTATAATTTTGAAACGCATGTTATAAGTTTGAGGATCACTGCAGAACACTTGTTAAAAAATTTGGAAAACTGCTCCGTTAAAAAATGATGTTATCCTGAAGCATATATATGATTTTTGTGCAGTAAAAGGACGTGGCTTAGGCTACTACTCTGAATAACCGCTGAAGCAATTCATTATAGCTTGCTTAATAATTTTTAAAACAGATTTAAAGTTATGAAAAATATCAGCTTCTTTCCTGAATATTTAAAAAAATCTGTCTAATTAAAATAAATTTAGAAAGAAATTTTGTAAAAAATATTTATAGAAAATTTTGAAAAAAAATTAATATATATATTTTTTTTTAACTTTGAAAAAAATTAATAAAAAACAACTTTATAAAAATATAAAAAAACAATTTATTAATGAATAATATATCAATCGCTTGCAGAGTAATGTATTGCGTTTATAAAGCATGCAACGTGTGTAATGTAATACATATTTTTTAAGTCACTTAAGTCAAGTTTAACTAAATTTAACATTAAAATTTAGTTTAAAAACATGAATAAAATAATATTTGATGCATCTTGTCAAAAACTTGACAATTTTAATGAGTAGTAAAAATTTGAAACATTTAAACGAGGAGATCACAAAGTAAAAAAATGTTTTTTTAGTTAAAAAGAGTTTTATGTTTTTGTTTTGGTTGTTTCTTTTTTAGCTATTCAACGATTTGACTATGACGTCAGTTTTCTCGTACCTTCCTCGTCTAGTAAAGGTTGGTTTTATACTTTAATTGTTTATTTATAATTTTTCCTATTTATTTATAACTTTCGATTAAATAAAATAAAAACTGTTATAATGAAATGATGTTCTTAAGTTTTGAAAAATATTTACTCATTCTATTTTATTGCAAACCTCTCAGTCTCATCCGAAATATTTTTAACTTCATAACAAATATTTTTGAACTTCCGCTTTTAAAAAGACAAGATGTGTTTTTGCGTACGATTTTATCAACAAAATTTTAACTAGTAAAAAATTTTAAGAAAGTTAAAGCAAGTAATAATGGTAAATGTATATAAAAATCTTAAAAAATTCAAGCAGGTTTAGCAATTTTTTTATCAATCCTGACTTGATTGAAGCCGAAAAGTTTAATCCCAAATTATTAGGAGATGAGTGCGATAAGCTAAATTTAAAAATGCACATCCTTTGGTTTATTATTATGAAATACGTAAAGACAGAGTTATTAAAATAGCAATTAATTTCAAATAAAAATAAATAAAATCTGAACTGAATCATTAAACTTTTTTGGTTTTAACTATATGTCAATTAATAGTTTTAAGTTTTCGCCCAAAATTAACTCTGTTTATCAAAAAAGTTAAAAATGAAAAAAAAGTCGAAACAATATAGCTAACAAACAAATAACATTCTATAACCATGCCAGCTTTCTTTCCAAAAAAATGTAAATAAAATTTTTTTCTTCCGTCTTTGTAACGCAAGAACCCTTTCCAATAAACTTCATGAGTTTTATTTATATGCCAAGGCAAAAAAACTTGCTGTGATCTGCATATGTAAGACATTTTTTAATAATAAACTTTCTAATGCTATTTATGCTCAAAAACATACCCAATTTATTGCAAAGAGCGTATAATTAGCGGAAGAATCTATTTACTGTAGAAAGGACATTACAGTAAAACAAGTGCAGATTAAGAAAACAGATACTGATATTGATATCATCAGTGTAGATATGATTTTTGGATCTCAGCAAAGACGATTATTATTGTTGGTGACTTCAACTTATCTAAAACGGATTGGGAAAGCTATGTTTCATCAAACGAAAAGTGTTATAGTATATTCTTAAATTTAGTAAACGAACTCGGTTTGCATCAATTCGTTAAAGAACCCACGCGCATTATGAATTTTCTTGATCTTGTTTTATCGAACAAAAGTTCTCTCATAAGTGATATATCTGTTGAGTGTCCTTTTAGCACTAGCAACCATAACACAGTCCAATTTTATATAAGTACGAACAATTTCAATCAATACCAAAATTAAACCAGAATCTTTTTACGATTTTCCTAATGCAAGGTTTAAGAGACAAGAGTTATATTTATCACAAATAAATTGGGATTTCGAGTTTTCTTTTGCCTGTCCAATTGAGGATTTCTGGACAATTTTTCTAAGGCTTTTTAGCACTGGTATTAATAAATTTGTACCTATCAGGAAAAAGTATTATAACAAAACAAGTGATCACTTTCCAAAGAACATTAAAAATATTTTTAGCCGCAAAGTATTATGAATAAGAGAGACAAATAATAAAACCTTTTATAACAACTCAGCTTACAAACAGTAAGCTAGGAATTGCAAACAAATTTTATATAATTACCAATTGCAAATTAAATTAAAAGCAAGTTTTAAAAGTATGTTAACAACAAAATGAATATTCTTAATAAGCACCACCATTTAATAGACAAAAATAACAATAACAATGTCAGTTCCAGTAATATAGAATATGCTAACATTTATAATAATCACTTTGGAAGTGTTTTTATAATTGCATATTTTAAAGTATGTTAATGATCCAATAAGTATTAATACATTTTATCTTTCCGTGGAGTCAGTGTATTAAACCCTAAAGGAAATTAAACCTAGTACCTTGTTCGGTCCCGATGGTTTACCTAATGTAATTAATAAAAATTTAGCTCATGATTTATGTTATCCTCTTTTATATACTTTTGAAGCTAGTTTTACATCCAACAATTTATCTAATCCGTCAGGGTTCTTCCGTTGATAGATTATCTGTCTAAAGGATTCAAAGACTTGATAAAGAACAACATAAGCTAGTTAATGAAGATGAATCCCTCATAGCACAAGTAAAATTAATTGAAGAAACAAGTCGTTTGATTAATACGGAGGTAAATATTTTATAAATACATGAAATATTTGTATTAGATGAAAAAGTAAGCGTTTTATTTTATTAACCCTTTTTAGGATGAAGGTGAGTGGAAACCAATTAATAATCCTATTGAAAAATACAACATAGTTAAACTTCCAAAATTTGCAATGGAATGAGTCAGAAATGAGTGTTTGTCAAACGTAGGAGCAGCCCTTGCAAATGCTTTACTTCATGACATAAAACATCTCTTGAAAAATGACGTTATTAAAGATATTTTGGTTGACAAATGCAAGTTAGATAGGGCCAAGTCATAAGTAAAAATTGTTAGTTGAAGAGGTGGACTCAGAACAAAAAACACTGTTAATTTGTCTTGGGGTTGACAGCAAGCTCAATCAAAGAACTAAAACAAGTAAAGTAATAAACATATCTCAAGGAGAAGTACTAAAAAAATGCATTGAACCTGAACATCACCTCACATTTACTTATGAAGATGAAAAATCAAGTGGAAATTATTTGACTCATTGGATGATTCCTGTCACCGGTGCTACAGGTTTAGTTCTTGCTACCGAAACGTTTAGTATTTTACAAGAACATAATAGTTTGGAAAGTATACAAGCTGTTCTTTTTGATAATACTGCTACCATTACTGGACCAATAAGTGGCTTATTGGTAAAACTAAAAGAGTTTTAAAAAGAAAACTACATCTAATTGGATGCGCATTACATCAAAATGAACTTCCGTTACGAGCTCTTTTTGTAAAACTTGATGGTGACACAACTGGGCCAAGAAGCTTTAGTGGTCTACTTGGCAAAAGATGAGCTGAAAATATTCAGAATAGATATCAAGTTTTGTTTGATCGTATTAAAAAACCTATTTGTAGATGGATATATTCCAGAAGAAATACTAGTAGACCTTAGTTGCGATCAAAGACTTTTATTTGAATATTGCAAAGAAATAGGCTTTGGAAAAGTTTCTGAAAAATTGGCCGCCTATAAAATTGGACCGCTTAACCATGCAAGGTGGTTAACTCTAGCTATTCGTCTTCTCTGTTTGTAAACTAGAGACAATCAACCAACTGTTTCTTTAAAAAAACTATGTTTTATTGTTCAGGTTTATGCTCCGTTCGAAAAAAAAAATCTTCAAAGTTTCACGAATCCCCGTGTCTTATTTTTTCTACTATCATTAGAATAAATATTTATCAAAAAAGTTGAAAATAAAATCTCTATTTATCAAAAAAGTTGAAAATAAAAAAAAAGTCGAAACAATATAGCTAACAAACAAATTCTATCATTAGAATAAATAATCTACCCTTTGATATTTTTAAACATACTGTAACAAAAAATACATTAAAAACAATGTATTGTGCCTAAAACCTGAAAATATTCTTTATGTCATGCTAAAAGATAATGACAGCAAGATACGAAACTTTGGTTTTCTAATCCTACTGGGTCTAAGGCAAAGGTTTTTTTTTATAGTTAACTAAAATAAAGTTTTGAAAAAAATTATACATTAAATGTGGTAAATGGATTTGATTATATTGATATTTATGAATGGATATATTTATAGAGTAAACAATGAAAGTTTGCAAGTAATGTGTGTATATATATATACATATATATATATACATATATATATATATATATATATATATATATATATATATATATATATATATATATATATATATATATATATATATATATATATATATGTATATATATATATATATATATATATATATATATATATATATATATATATATATATATATATAAATACGAAGATGTTCTTTCTAAAATTAGTACAGACCTAAGAAGTAAATTACAATTAAATCAATGGAAAAACACTTAAAATGTTATTGATTGGTTTAAAGCCATAAAAGAAAAACACCTTTATAAATTTTTAATTTTTGATATCATTGACTTCTACCCTTCTAACACTTCTAAAAAACTCTTTTAAATTTGCAGAGCAACACTTAACACTAAATAAAGAAAATGTATCATTAATTTTCCAAGCAAGAAAGTCTTTGCTTTTCAATAATAATCAGGTTTGGATAAAGCAATTAAGTAGTTTATTTGATGTTTCCATGGGAGCTTTCGACGGCGCGGAGGTTTGTGAGCTAGTAGGAATATTTCTTTTTTTCGAAATTTCAAAATTTTATAATAAGTTTGAGGTTGGTTTATACCGTGACGATGGCTTAGCAGTTTTTAGTAATAAAAGCGGCCCTTAAATGGAAAAAATAAAGCATATTGTCGAAACATTTAAATACAATGGCTTACGGATTTCTATACAATGCAACATGAAAAATGTCAACTAACTGGACGTTACTCTAAATTTTAGTGAGTACACTTTTAAATCTTGTTTTAAACCTGATAATACATTAAATTGTACCCATGCTGATTTGAATCACCCACGAAGTATACTAAAACAAATACCATACTCGGTTGAACTTAGATTATCTACAAATTCTTCTACAAAAGAAGTAATTTAACATACTATTTCTCTATATAATGAAGCTTTATTAAAGTCTGGTTTTAAATTAAGTCTAATATATATTCCTAAAGGAATTTAAACTCGAAAACGGAACAGAGCACGCAACATCATTTGGTTTAATCCTCCATTTAGCAAAAATGTTATTACCAACGTAGGAAAATGTTTTTTAAAATTAATTGACAAACATTTTCCTAATAATAAAAAACTGCATAAAATCTTTAACAGAAACACTGTCAAAGTTAGCTACAGTTGTATGCCAAGTGTAAAGTTGATCATAAATTTGCACAACAAATACATTTTATGCAACGATACAAACTCTAATCAAGAAAATTGTAACTGCTTAAATAAAAATTTCTGCCCGTTATCCAATAAATGTTTAACTAGCAACATTGTATACCAAGCAAGTGTAACCTCCACTAATATTTTTTTTTTTTAAATTTTTTTTTAAGTGTAATTTATTTCGCCGTTAAAGAATGTTTACATTGCATATACATATATCAAAATTAATGGCAGGAGCAAGAAGAAGGCACATTTTGCCTTATTGCCGAGCCCCACATATAAAAAAAAAAAACTTTACATAAAAAAAAACTCTACATAATCGTAACATACAAATGTATATAATATAAATATATAAAATATAGGTCAGAATTAAAACAGAAAATAACTGAGAAAATTAAGAAATTCAAAATAGCAAATAACTAAGAATTGTCGAAATGCTAGCAACCGCTAAAATGTTTTAAAATCATTTAAACAAAAAGTTTTAAATAAGAATAAAATTTCATAGTTAACATTATCACAAGATGAACTTTTAACATCATCACTTAAATTTGATTGATATAAATAAATTTGTTTTTATTTGATTAGATTTTAAAAGAAACATTTCAAGTCAGATAAATTAAGATCCCTGAGTAGTAATAATTATTTTGATTCGTTTTTAAATTGTTCTAATGCAGTCTTGTTTTTGTTGACAATCTCTGGGAATTTTTTCCACAGATAAAGTCCGCGATATTTAATCGAATATAAGGTTAATTTTAAATTATACTTGAGAAGAACAAAGTTGTTATCAGAAAACTTTGTTGAATATTTATGATTAATTTTATTAAAATAGGTTTGAAAAATTATTGGGGACAATCCCATTTTTGTTTTAAACATAAACAATAAAACTTGGTGTAAAATGAGTTTATACACATTTAAAGCACCGAGTGCACGTAAAAGTGGTTCGCAAGGAGTATTTCTGCAGGCTCCAAACACTA